CGGAAGTCGCTGGGGATCGACAGTAAGTCGGGGGCTAAAATTATTCAAGCTCTTAAAATAGGATAATAAGGTAACTTTCCTCCTCCCGGTATGAGCTCATTTAATTGTAAAGATCTTAATAAATTCAGCCTGATTAACTCCAACCTTGTGGGGGAAGGTTATTCAGTGTTGTGGAATTAATTTTAAACAGAAGCCAAAAAAAAAAAAAAAATCAGAGCAAAGAAAATCTCCAGCTCGGGATGAGGGAGGCAGGGAGTTTGTGCGCAGGAAGGGGTGCCCGCTGGGGGGGCCGAGCCTGCTCCCGGGGTCACGCATGGTGGCCCCTGACGAGTAACGCACCCTCTGGAGCTGGAGGAGCTTCTGAGACCTCTCCTCCATCCCGGCTCAGACCCCAGACCCCAGACCCCAGACCCCATGCCTAAGCCCCTCCCACTACCCCCTCTCCACATCCGCTCAGCCCTGGACAAGCACAGGCCTGGTTGAAGCAAGAGGCCGGGGGGCAGGGGCGGGGGGGGCAGAGCCCCAGGGGAGCTCCGACGGGAGATGTTTCTTTGCCCCCATACTGGTGCCGCCCTGCCCACCGGCCCCCGTGGATCGCCCAGACTCTTCCGTGTGCCGTGTGACCCCCCCCCCCAGGACGGGGCCCCACTGCCCCTCCCCCGCTGCCCCCCTGCAGGACGTTGGCAAAGTGCTGCTGCTGCCTGGAGGGCGATGTGTCTCCCCCCTCCCCCCCACCGGCTCAGGCGCCCCCTCCGCGGAGGCCCTGCCCGGCGAGGTCAGCGGGAGCTGCAGGAAGCACCGGCTGTCAGTGTTCCTGTCGTTTTAACCAAGGGTTCTGACCCGGGGAGTCATGGAACCAGTTATCAGGTTGCGACCAGGATTTTTACAAAATACAAAGTTGCGTAGAAGAGGGAATGTCTGGGGAATTCACTCCAGAGTTAGCTGTTTGGTGAAATTGCTGAAATCCTGTGTGCGCCTGCATGTGTGTGCACACATGTGTGCGGGTGCATGTATGTGTATACGTGTGCGTGTATGTGTGCACGTATGTGTGCACGTGTCTATGTATGTGTGCCTGTGCACGTGCAGATGTATGCATATGCGTGTGGATACGTGTGTATGTGTGTACATGTGCATGTGTGCAGGTGTGTGCATCGTGCTCTTGTGTGTGCGCGTGCGTGCGTGTGTATGCGTATTTGTACGTGTGCATGTGTGTGCGCACGTGCGTGTGTGCCTGTGTGCACATGGGCATGTGTGCATGTGTGTACATGCGTGTGTACACGTGACCACGTGTGCGCACACGTGTATGCATGCATGTGCATACGTGTCCATATGTGTGCACATGTGTCCCTGTGCGTGTGCACAATTGTGTGCGTGTGCATCCGGGTACGTCTATATGTGTGTGCGTGTGCCTGTGTGTACGCAGGTGGGTGTGAGTGCGTGCACGTGCGTGTTCACACGTGTGCACCTGCGTTGTGCAACGCGCTACCTGTGGACGGCAGTCCAAACTTTGAACGTCGGAGCGGCAGGTGGCCCGGCTGCCCAGCCGGGCGGAAGGTCACTGCCTCGGGGTTCGGGGGCTCTTGGAGCCACGGGGCTGGTGCCCAGGATGGATGGTCAGGAGGACAGCCAGGGAGGCGGGTGCCTTGGGGTCCCCGCGGGAGTCACCTGCTGAAGCGTGTTCTGACTCTGCCCAGATGACGTTTCCGAGGCTTCCTGCTCCCTGCACGCCCCTGCCGAGCACGCGTGTGGTCGTGCCCCCGCCAAAACTGACACGTTGAAATGCTAACCCCAGACGGGCTGCTATCAGGAGACTGGGCCGGGCGGGGTCAGGACAGCGGAGCCCCATGATGGGACCAGCGACCCTGCGGGAAGAGAAAGGGACACCAGAGACGGCGCTCTCTGCCAGGCCAGGGCACAGCAAGCAGTTTGCCAGATCGGCTGGGACCCCCGGCCTCTGGCACCGCGAGGAGTCAGCGAGTGCTGCGCAAGCCGCCGGGTCCAGGGTGTTTCTGTTACAGCCACCCAGTGGGCTAAGACAGCCCCCAGGGCCCCAACCCTCCCCTCACCCGGCTGGTGAAAGTCGTTTCGTGCTCCACGGGAGCATCACCTGTGCTGAGTCTCAGGCCGTGGTGACAGGAGCCGTCATCAGCTGCCAGACGTTACCGTCCTCCCACCGTGAAGCTCGTGGGACCTGCGCTCGGCGGGCGGCACGCACGTGGCTTTCCCGTTCCCAGTGCCGGGGGTCAGGGCGAGCCAGCCCCACACACGCCCCGCTTCCCACCAGGCCCACCGGCCCCTGAGAGCAGGCCTAGCCGCTTCCCATAAACGGGGACATCGGCCCCACGTCAGCCGTAACGAACCGCACTTGTCAGACGGGATCCAGGGAGCAGCGTCACTGGAGGGGGACAAATCACTCAGCCCACGGCTCCTGACGAGGCAGCGGACACCATGGCGCTTGGCTGTGCCGGGACCCGGGGGTCGCCGGGGGCTGGGCCGGCTGCCCCTGTCGGGGACCGTGTGCCGGGCTGGGGGCCTCTCTCCTCCAGGCTGTGCCCGTTCCGGGGGCTGCGCCCTGCAGACGCCGTGGGCGGGAAGAGAGACACCGGCGGCAGCCTCTGTTCGCAGCATGACTCAGACGTCGTCATCTGTTCTGGCCCCCAAACTGCTTCCTTTTCAGGTTGTTTAGGGAAGACTCTGGAAGCCAGGCACAGAGCTGACGCAGACAGATGCACCGGCTCCTGGACTCGCGGCCACGCTGCCGGCGAGGAGGGGCTGCCGCCGGGCGTCAGGGACGCGCTCATCCGGCCGCGGTTCCCTGGAAAGGGCGGATGGAAGTCTTCCCGGGGCCCGAGCTGAGCGATAAACCCCCAAACGCCCAGGAAAGCGCTGTGATTGGCCCCAGCAGGTCGGGCAGCACAGTCGGGACGGGACGGGATGCTCCCAGGAGAAGGTCGGAGTCCGGAGCGCACAGGCCGGCCCTCTCCTCATTCCCCCCAACCCAACCCGTGTCCCCCTGGCCCTTCTCCCCCGCGGCAGGGGGACGCCCAGAGGCCGCTCACGACCCCGAAGGCCCTGGGGGAGCAGCTCCCCTCCTACAGATCTCAGGGCCGCGGGTGACCTTCAGAACAGGCACGGGCACGTGCTGGCCCCCCGGGCTCCCCCACGTCGTCGGTGTCGACGGCCGCGCGTCCCCGGACCGGGAGCTGCTGCACTCCGCGGGTCTGCTGCGGTCCCTCCCAGCCTGTGTTCTCGGAGGCTCCGGAACATTCCGGGCCGTACTTCCGATCGACAGCCGCCCATCGGGCCCTCCGGCCTTCAGAGTTCCGCCATGGATCCCAGTGAAGGAGACGTGTCCTAGTGCAACACTGGGATCCGGCTGACACGCACACTCACGCACAGACACACACACATAACATGGGTTTTGGAAACCCATTTTGAAAAACTCTCCACACGATGCGTCTTGATGATGGGGTTCCGTCTCCCCTGTTCCGATCGGGCTTTATAACCCGCTACACTTTCCTTGTGGCCCACGCGGCACGCCGCACGGACCCTCGGCGCATCAGCGTCCTCGCCGAACAGCCGTCTGGACAGCGGGAGCCCCGTGGACGCGTCTGCTGGACGCCAGGCCCCGGCCCGGGCTCCTCCTCTGTGACCCGGCCTAACGCTCCCACGAATCCTGTAAGACCCGAGCTCTGTTGCTTAGATGACGAGGCCGAGGTCAGTGGCTGAGAGCAGACACCGACCGCACGCTCTGAGTGAAGTGGCCGCAGTGGAGACAAGGCTGTTGGGGGCAAAGCCCTCTCCACCACCGCCCGCAACCCCTGCTGCACCTGCTGGGCCCCCGGCCCTCAGGCGGGCACCGGGCCCACACTGCCCTTCGCACGACAGAGGCCGTCTGTCCCTCCCCGTCTGTCCTAGCGGTCTGCCTGGCCAGCAGCAGAGGGGAGATGTTGTGGACCCTTGAGGTGAGTTCAGGAGCTCACCGCTCAGGAGGGATGGGCCTCCTGGACCCTGTGGGGGCTCCCGGGCCACCACCCTGAGGCACTGCGCTAAAGCCGCGATGTGAGCCGCCGGTGGCCCCGTGTGCGGCCATCCAGCGTCCCCGGCGGAGAGCAAAGACCACCCAGCTGAGCCCCTCCCCCGCCCCCCTTGTGCTGCAGCGGCCCTTGTGGCCGTCAGCCACCACATTTTGGATGTTTTGTTACAATGCAGTGACGGTCAGTCTGAGCTTCCAGCAGAGAGGTCCCCCCGGGAGCCCCTGGCTCTTGTCCCTGCAACTCAGGATGTACCAGAAAAGGACCAGCCCCTCCGTGAGTATCTGCTGAGCACACGCCAAGGCCTGCACCCAGCACCACTCTCCTCTGCGTCCGGGGCCCCTCGGTTCTGCGCGGAGCCTCTGCTCGGTGGGGGCGCGGCCCCTGGGGGCCTCGTACGTGCCCCCCTCCACCCGGTGTGCCACCAGCCACTCAGGCGCCTTCCCTGGGGGGCTGCCAACCTCACCGGGCACGGGAACAGGCGTAAATAATAGAAAAGCGTTTGCTTGCATTTCTGCGTGTGTCCCGGGCACCTGACTGGCTGCCGGAGGAGGGAGAAAGCAACCCCGAAATAAAGAAGCTTTTCTTAAAAGGGAGCTTTGTAACACTCAGGTGCACGGCACAGGAGAAGGGGAAAGAAACCCCCCGGGGAGATGAGAGAGAGAGAGAGAGAGAGAGAGAGAGAGAGAGAGAAACTGCATGGCTGGGGGAAGGGAGCAGGGCAGCAGAGGCAGCAGGAGAGGGGAAAGAAGTGTTTGTTAATATTTACTCGAATTAATATGATGTTGAGCAACACTCTGTACATAAAAGCCACAGTTAAAATTAGTAAGTAGTTCATCCTGGTCTAACAATATGGAATAATTAATTTCCACACTCATGTGCTTTTTCCTCCTTTTCCATCAACAGTAATTAAAGAGAAATATTGTATAGCTGCACCTGTTTTTTACTTTCGCCTCACCACAGTGAGTAAACCCAATCTTTTATTGATGAGAAGAGACACAGGCTGCAAAGCCGTAGGAGACACAGCCAAACCCCTCCAGCCTTCCCCGGAGACGTGTGAGAAATCCCAAATTACCGAGCCATATGGAGGGCGTACCGCGAGCGTCTGTCCCCACGGCGGGACCGGGTCTCGCTGCCTCTGACCTCCAGCTCCTCTGGAAGGTCACGGCCATCGGGGGAGTCGGCTGCCAAGGGAGCCGCCGTGGACAGTTGTCTCGAGGACGAGGCCGGAACCGCGTCCTGTTTCTGACGGGACTCTGGGCCCCGAGGAAGGGGGTCAGAGCGGCCACGGAGGACGAGGGGGTCCGGGCCAGCGGCTCCCGGCCTCGGCTGGACTCGAGCCTTCCCTGGCCAGCTCGCCCCACGGCCGTTCAAGGGCACCGGCCGGACCGACCCACGAGGCCAGGGCAGGGAAGCGGGGCCCTTCCCAGTTTCCTCTCGGCCCCCGCACTCTCTGGCAGTGACTCTGTCCTCCGGCCAAACCCCAGCAGGGTCCTGCCTCAGCTGCCGCCCGGAGGGTCCAGTTTCCGCGTGGGTCCCGGGCGCCGGGCACCGGCCCGAGGCCGAGGCCGCCTCTGTTTGCAACACCCGCCTCTGGCAGGGTCCGTCCTTCACCCCTGCAAGGGGGCCGTAGGTCAAAATAACGTGAGCGGCCTCCGGGGCTCCCCTGGCAGGAGCCAAGCCTCAATCTTTGGTGGCAGGATGGGCGCTGAAGCTCATCTTTTTATTTTTTTTTTATTTTTAAAAAAAATTTTTTTTTCAATGTTTATTTATTTTTGGGACAGAGAGAGACAGAGCATGAACAGGGGAGGGGCAGAGAGAGAGGGAGACACAGAATCAGAAGCAGGCTCCAGGCTCTGAGCCATCAGCCCAGAGCCCGACGCGGGGCTCGAACTCACGGACCGCGAGATCGTGACCTGGCTGAAGTCGGACGCTTCACCGACTGCGCCACCCAGGCGCCCCAGTGAAGCTCATCTTTAGACACAGACGAGCCCGTCGACTTGGCCCCCTGAGGCCCCTCGGGTCCCTGGGCCCCCACAGCGCCTGGCTGTGCAGCCCCCCGTGCAAAATCAAGTGTCCTTGCCCGTAGCCCCCACCCCAGGCCGCGAGCCCCCTGCGGCCAGGAGGCGCCTTCCCAACAGCCAGATGCGGCCCCAGGGCCCGGACGACGCCTGGAGCCGTTTGGTAAACTGACAGCTGGGGATTTCAGCAGCCTCCTGGGAGAGAGGCCGGCACCCCCAGAGACGGCCGTGCGGGACCGGAACCAGGGCCCCTTCTTTCTGCGCCGGAACATTCCGGGGCTGAGACCCGCTCGTGACTTGTGACTTGTACCGCGTGACTCCTGCCTAAACGCCCAGGGGATGTGGGGATGAGGAAGGCGCCCCTGCGTCCCCCGTGACCCACTCCGGTCACTGTGGCCCCAGCCCCCCCCCCCAGGCTCCGTGATGTCTCACCATCTGTGCTGGTTGACTGTGCTTTTCACCTGACTTCACCCCTGAAGCCCTTCCTGTTCTCTCCCTCCCTCCACCCCCGCTCCCCTGCCCCGTGCCACCCCAGTGGTGCCCAGAATCGTGGCCCCCAGATGCTCACACCTGTGTTCAGGCACGTAGCCAAGGGGAGTCACAGAAGCTCACCAGAGATGCTCGCCAGCCCGCTTTGCCATAGCAAGGCTGTTCCGCGCGATGCGTGGGGGCTCGATGCGATCACGGGGGTCCTCGAAGGTAGACCGAGACCTGGAAGAGAAAGCCAGAGACGTGGTCATGGGTCTTGGGTCATTCCGGCTTGGGCAGAGGCGCAGAACCATGAGCAATGTCCCAGAGATTACCGGGGCCGCGTCCAGGGGATAGGGCCGTCGGGAGGTCCTGAGGACTTTGGGGGATCGGGAAGGAGGGGGGGAACAAGGAGAGGAGAGGGTTCTGGGGCACAGCCGTGGAGAAGCTTGGGCAGACTGACCATGTTAGCCTCCGTTCTGAGAGTGAATCCCCTCCCTGTGGATTTTCTGCGCGTGGCCCGTCTGTGACCCCAGCCCCTCAGCAGAGCCCCGGGGACCCCCATTACGGCACCTGCACGGAGCTGAGGCTCCGTCGGGGGCTCGACTCTTGAATCGATCTGACCGGGAGTGGTTCGCCCCCCTCTGACCACGGCGCTGACACGCTTTGAAATGTTGCCGCCGTGAACGCTCCTGCGTGGCCCGTGGCCAGCGGCCCGTGGGACCGACTTGGCAAAGCGTATTAACAACCTCAAACGTGTTCAGAGCTTTTGACTTGGTAATTGTCTCCCCGTGGGAATCCAGCCTCGGGCGTCGTCAGGGACCTGGACAAAGACTGTGCTCAAAGAAGTTTCCTTACAGCACAGTCTGGAGTAGAAAGCAGCGACCTGCCAGTTACTTAGATGTTCGACAAAAGGAGGAAAACCCCCGTAGTGAAATGCTTGGCAGCCACTGAAAGGGACAGCAGAGGCATTTTTGGAGGGGCCTAAATGCCGGCGACACGAGCTTGGGTAAAGGACACCGGAGCTGGGGAGTCAGGATGCCTGCTCCTCTGTGTTCCGCTTTCCTGCATTCTCCCAGATTCCCACCGTGATCACGTGCTTCTTGTCGAGTCACAAGGAGAGGAGGGATTGCAGCTTTTCCGGGGCCCGTGGGCTGCCGGTTTCCGGAAGCCCGTGTCCCTCGTCGGCCCGGTGCCCCCGGCGGGGAAGTTACACGTTTGGCTCGAATTCCCAGTCCCGATAAAAACCACAGCTGCTTCTCCTCTGAATTTTCTCGGCTGCGGAAGAGAGCCCTCCCCCACGCTCCTGATCCCCTTCTGCATCACCAGCCTCTCTTTTCACGCAGATACTAAATATATTTGAATGGATCCTGGTGCAGCCCAACACTGGGATAACTATTGACTCTGTCAGCTGAGGTCTCAGACTCTGAGTTCAGTACTCACGAGTCTCTACAAAAGGGCAGACACGAATCCACAGTCCAGGCTTAGGGATTGTCCCAGTTCGGGCTAGGAAAGCTCCTTCAACCTGGCTTCAACCATGAAGGCAACTTAGTGTCTCCTCGAAACAAAAACTCCCCGGGGGTGTTCCGGGCTTCAGGCATGGTTCGATCCAGAAGTTCCTTGCAGCATCAGGACCCTGGCACCATTTTCTCTGCTGCTTCTCGGCTATTTTCAGCTCTGGGGCTGCAGCCTTGATCCACAGCATCCTGTTGAGAAGAAGAGAGGGCGGTGTCGCCCCCGCCTCCCCAGCAGGATCGTGGGCATCTGCTCTGATTGGACCAGCTCTGCTCCGGCGTCCCCCCTCTGCTCGAGCTATGACCAAGGGGACCGAATGCACTGATGATCTCGGGCCATCAAATGCCCAGGCCCAAGGCAATTTCTTCTCCAGAACCACGTAGATGCCCAGACAGAAACCAGGACTCAGTGGAAGAGGGGTGAATGCCACAGGCTCCCGCCAACGTTCCTCGACATTCGTTTGGGGAGTGTGTCTAAAGAGGTGTTTGCGAGCGTCAACTCCAGGAACGTTCATGAATGTTCACTCTAGTGAACGTGTGCCAGACAACGGGTACCATTAATTCACAAATCCAGTTAACTAAGGTACTTTGACTTTGCACTGTTTCTGGCACTTGGAGGAAAGTAAGGCTTGAAGGACACAGATTCAGAACATGTCGGTGGTTCCAGGAAACAAAGACCCGAAACCTAATTATAGCTTTTCTTTTTGGAAAGAGAAGAAAAGAGGGATTTAATCAACGGACGGATGAAATCCATCCGAGAGGACAGACTCCTCCTTCAGGGTCACGTGGGCACCCGGGTTTCCACCTCATAGGGTGAGAGACTGGGGGCGTTTGGACACCTGACATCTGGGATATCTTTTGAGTAAAGAAAAAAAAAAAAAAAACCTATGTGCCTTTTCTTTAATGCCCCATTCCAGCATCTAGAAGTTTCCTACCACCCCAGAGACCGCCCCCCGCCACTCTGTAAGGAAGTGAGGCTCGAGCCCCCCCAGGCTGGAGGCTGTCCTCCTGCACCCCAGGCCTCCCTCCTACTCCGCCCGCGCCCCTCCAGAGCTGCTCTGGCCTCTGACAGCCAGGGGGGGGGGGGCTCGGGAAGCCCCTTCCTCAACTCGAGCGGGGGTCGGCAAGCTACCCGCTGTGGGTCCAGTCCGGCTCACCACCTGCCTTTGTATGACCTATGAAAGCAGTTTCCACGTTCTTAAGTGTCGGCCAAAAAAAAAAAAAAAAAAAAAATCAAGGGAAGAATATTTTGTGCCATGTGAAAATTCTACGAAATGAACATTTCGGGTTCGAAACACAGCCGGGCTCCTTCATTTGCATATTACCTGCATCTGGTTCCGCGAGGCAGGGGCAGAGCCGCCCAGAAGCCACCCAGAGCCAGATGCGTCGGTGACCTTCTCTCCGTCGGGGTCCAGCAGGGACACCTGGCCGCGCAGAGCAAGCAAGAGGCCTGCTCCCTGCCCTTGGACAGGGACAGTCCCCCAACTCACCTGCCTGCTCCCCGCTGTCAGACGGGGACAGTCCCCCCGCCCCCCTGCCCGATGCACCTGCTGCAATGAGGTGGACCTGGCTGAGACTCCCGCCCTGACGAAGGGCCTTCATCACCCCAGAGCCGCCCACGGCCGGTCCCGACCAGCAAGCAGGAGGGTGTCCTCGGGGCCCCGGAAACCACCGGGCAGCTCCCGGCCCCTCACACCCTCTGGCCACCGGAGGAAGCCACCAGCGTCTGAGAACTCATGTGAAAAGTAGAAAAGTGCTGATGAAATCACCCCATTTCTGCCTGAATGCTTCTCTTTCTTACAGAATAAAGCAGAAAGCTGAAGTCGCTCCTTCAAACCTGAAAGCCCCTTTTCATACGGTTCAAATAAGGAGAGGAAATGGCGTGAAGTGAGTTCTCCAAAGCCAATCAGCCCAGCCGCTTGGATCCACAGGAAAAGGGCCCACGTTTGCAAGGTGTCCCGGAGGGCGTGGGGCTCAGCCGTGGCTTTGAAGCAGATTTCTAAGCTGGCAGGGTCCCCACTCCCCGCCCCCCCAACACGCCCAGGGCTTTGTGAGACATCCTGACCTGAGCCGGCTTTGCGGCCCCCCAGGCGGGCGGGGGTGCCTCCCAAAGGAGCCTGGGTTGGTGCGGGCGGGGGCGGACCCGCGGGTGAGGGTGCACAGCTGTGCAACCTTAGAAAAGTAACTACCCTCTCTGAGCCTGGGCCCGTCCTCTGAGGAACAAAGACCCGCAAAGGCTGCCTCACGGGAATGTGGGGGATCGAATAAATGACGTAAAGTTCACGAGCGCATGGATCCTACCTAACACGTCGTTAACCAACACGCAAACAGCAACGCGGGAATCACCTCGCTTCCCCCCTGGAACCTGAGCCCCCTGGAAAGAGAAACACAAGCTTCGTGTCTCCTCAGAACCGTTGTTTAAAACCCAGCCAGACCGTCCGCCGTGCTTCCCCGGACACGCACGCAGGACGGCCAACCACAACGCCGGGCCCGTGGAGCACGCATGGAGCGCGTACCGGGAGGCACGGCCAGCGCTCTGTGCATTCATACCCTGGACTCTGGGATTCATACCCTGGGCTTGTGTCTCCCCACTTTACAGGCGAGGGCCTGGGGCACAGACGGGGAGCAGGTGGTCAAGACGGGATCAGAACCCAGAGCCTCCGGGCCGGAGCCCCCGACCCAAGCCACTGGCTCTGTATTACCTTCAGGAAGCAGACAGGGAAGTATGGAGTGAACGAGTGAATGAACACGGTCGTGCCTCCTAGTCAGCTTGGTCAGGCTGAGGGCGTGTGCAGAAGCCAGGGGTGGGGCTGCGGAGGCGGCCTGGGGAGGCGTGTCTGCCCCCGGGGACTGTCCAGTGCATCCGCTCGGCACAGGGTCCCCGCCCAGCCCTCGAAGGCAACAGCTGAGGCACCAGAGAAAGGTCTGGGGGGGGGGGGGGCGTGGGGTTCAGCACAGGGCGCTCCGAGCAGCCTCGGTACCTCACCCCGTGCCGGCAAACTCTCCCCACCGTCGTTAGATGTCGTTCTAAGTCAGGGGACCCTGCAGGAGAAGGTGGAGGAAGACCCTTTGCTGGAGACGCCCGCGTGCACCGAAGAGCCCCAGGGGCACCCGCACTGCCCCAAACCCCCCAGCGTGCCCGGTGCCCCGATGGCTGCTGTGGGCGCCCGGTGGGGGGCCCTCCAGGGGCAGCCGGGTGGGGCTGCGTGCTGGCAGATTCCTCCTCAGGCCCAGGACGTTGGGACAAAGAAGCGGCACCGTCTGACCGGGGCTAGTCTGCTCCCCACGTGCGAGACGACCAGATAACCTGGGGTGAAGGGGGTTTGTGGGAGGAAGCGTCTCAGCTGGAAAGTGGCCATCGTGGCCACGCTGACTGGGGCCCAGGACCGTGTCCCCCTGTGAGCCTCTGGGGGAGAAGGGAGAGAGGAAAGGATACATTTCTGATCACTTACTATGACCCAGGCACGGAGAGAAGCATTTCATAATCGGGAATCGTGGTCAGAGCACAGATTCGGGGCCAGAAGGCAAGGGTCTGAGGCCCCGCCGTGGACTCGACCAGGTTTGTGATCTCGGCAGGTTCTCTGTCCCAGTTCCAGGGGTTAGTTGTCTGCTCCCAGTCTCCGGATGACGTTCAAACCGAAAGGCTTCAAACAAGAACAGCTTGGCCCACGAGTCGAATCTGCACGTAGCGGGGGGCTCGGTGGGGCGGGCTCGTCCGTGGCTCCGGGA